TGTTCCTAGTTGTACCCCAGCTATGACCCCTGCCCTGCTTTTTGCTATGCCTTGTACCTATCCTAGCCCTGCCCTATTTTGGAACTGGCCCTAACCAGGCCTTGCACTGCCCTCTCCCTGCTTTTGCTTCTTGCTGGTTCTGGTTCTGCCTTGATCTTGCCCTCCTCTGGACCCTCCATGTTTCTGCTTTCTCCTTGGCTCTGAATCTGCTGTGGCCCTGGCCCCAGCCTAGACATGGCCACAGTGTCTTAGAGCCTGACCTTACATTGCTTCTGGCCTGCATCTGACCTTGCACAATCCTAGTTCTACCCTGGTCCTGACCTCACTCACCCTGCTTCTGGTCTTGCCACTCTGACCTGGCCATAGCCCTGACCTTGACCACTGGCTCTTGCTCCTATCCCTGGTCCTGCCATGGTGCCGACCCTATCATGGTCCTGCCCCAGTCTTGTCCTAGACCTGGCCATGGCACTAACCCTGTCCTGGTCCTGACCTGCTAAAGGCCTTATCATGACACTGGCCTGGCCCTGGCCCTGATTTGCCTGAGCCCTAACCCACACGCTCTTCTGGCCCTCGCCCTGACTCTGGTCCTATCACTGTCTGTACCTAGCCCTGTTGCTGGTCCTGCCATGTCCCTGACTCTGGCCCTGAGGATCTTTCTTTGCCTTGTTCCTGAAATTGCCCTTTTTCCTAGTCCTGGTCCCAGCACTGGCCCTGCCTCAGCACTTCTCTGGTTCTGGTCCAAACCCCAGCCCTGCAATGGACTTGCCCTACCTTTATCCTGTGTGACCCCGGTCTTGTCCTGCCCTGTCCCGGTGGTGACTTGGCCTTGCCATGGTCTGGTCCTCCCATTGCCCTGCCTATCCCTTCCCTGGTTGTGCCCTGGACCTGTCCTGATCCTGACCCCTCCCTGTTCATGTCTTCGATCTGACCCTGGCTCAGCTATGGACCTTCCGATATCCTTCCTCAGCCCTTGCACTCGGAGCTGTCATTCAGCCCTGGTACTATCTGGTCCTTCCTTGGGACTTTCCCTGCCCCATGGTCTGGTTCTGTCCCTGCCTTGCCCTGAGCTGGCCCTGGACCTATGATATTCCTGGCCCTGGCCCTGGCCCTGGCCCTGACCCTGACCCTGGTCCTATCCTTATCCTGTCCCTGATCTACATGACCCTGCCCCTGCAAGCTCTGACCTTCCCCTTCCCCTGAAATTGTCCTGCGCTTCCCTGGCTCTGTCTTGGCTCTGGCCCTGCCTTCTTATCAGACTTGCCCTCACCCTGCTCTGGGATGACAACCCCAGGCCTACTCTGTCCATGGTATAGTCTGGCCCTGCACTGCCCTCCTCTGCCCTGACCCTGCCATGCCCAGAGCCCAGTGTTTTCCCTGGCCCTACTCCTAGTCCTCCCCTGCCATGGTCCTCCCCTGCATTTGGCCAGGCTGTGTGCTACCTTGGTCCTGCTTTGCTCTGGTCCTACCCTTAACCATACTTTGCCCTGGACCTGCCTTTGTCATTTCCTGGTTCTGCACTGGCTCTATCCATGCTCTAGACCTTACCTGGACTTGGACTGGCCCTGTCCTTGATGCAGCCATGCCCTGTCACTGAATCTACCTTATGGCTGACTTGGTCCTGGTCTATCTTGGTCCCGTCTTGTCCCTGGACCTTCCCTGGTTATGGTATGGCACTGATCCTGCCTTGTTCAAGCCATGGACCTGACCATGCCCTGGCGATGGCATGGCTTTGCCCTTCACTGGCCCTGTCTTAAACCTGTGCTCTCCTAGTCCTGTGTTAGCTTTGACCTTGCCCTGGCCCTACTCTGGTATGCTGTGGCCCTCCCTTCCCTTTGTCTTGCCCTGGCCCTGACTCTGGTTCTCACATAGCCCTGTCCTTACCTTAGCTCCTCCGTGGCCCTACCTTTTCCTTGGCCCTTCAGTGACCTTGCCCTTGTCCTGGCTCCTTTCTGGCCCTGTCTTGTTGTGGGCCCTGCCGGGTCCATGTTCTCAGCATGGCCTTCTGTGACCACACTCTGACATCCTCTTGCTGCATTCTTACACTGGCCCTATCCTGCCTTTGCTCTGTACTACCCTATCCCTGCCCTGCCTTGTATTGGTCCTGAACCTGCCCTGGCCTAAGCCCTGGCCGTGCCATGTTCCTGGCTATTTCTGGTTCTGCCCTGTTTCTACTCAGCCCTGGCCCTCATCTTTGTCCTTTCATGTCCCTGGCTCTTACCCTGCCCCTGAATTTTTCCTGGCCATGACCCAACCCTCTTCCTACCCTGGGTCTTGCCCTGCCACAGTTCTGGTCCTATCCAAGCTCTGCTCCTGCCATAGCACAGTCCTGACTGGGCAATGCCATTTTCCTTGCCCTGCACTGCCAATACGAGGGTGCTAACCCAGCTCTGGTTCTGTCATGGCCCTCATGTGGCCATGGTCCTGATCTTACCCATTCCTCCAGCCATCCTCCTGTCATTCTCTATCCTGGCCCTGTACTGGCCACACCATACCCTGGCCCAGTGTTTGCCCTTGCCCTGATCCTCATCCTTCCCTATGGTCCTACCCTGCATTTGGCCAGGCTGTGCTACCTTAGTCCTACTCTGCCCTAGCCCTACCCTACCTTGGCCCTACCTTTGGTTTCTCCTGGTCCTGGTTCTGCTCTGGATCGGCTCTTGCCCTGTACCCTAACTGGTCCTGCCCTGATCTGGCCCTGTCCCTCACCCAACCTTGACCTGTCCCTAAACTGGCCCTGGCAACGTACACGCCCTGCAATTACTGTGCATTGACACTAGACCCACCCTATGTCTGCTTTAACCCTGGCCCCTCCTTGGCTCTGCATTTACCTGCCCTGCCCATAGCAATGTGCTGACGCTGCCCATGCCATTGAATTGACCCTGACCTGGCCCTGTCATTCTGTGGTTCTGTCCTGGCACTAGCCCTGCCTTAGTCCTGTGCTATTTTAGTCCTAACTTGTCCCTAACCTTGCCCTAGCCCTACCCTGGCTTGATGTGTCCCTCCCTACTCTTGTCTTCCTCAGTCCTGGCCCTGCCTTTGTGGCCTCCTCTGACTCAGGTTCTGAACTGGCCATTCTTGCCTTCAACCCTCCCTGGCTTGCTTTTTCTCTGGCACTTCTTTTGCCTTTTCCTTACCCTTGGCCTTCCCTGTCCCTGCCTCTACTCTGACCCCTATCTGCCCTGCCCTTTCCTTGTCCCTGTACTACACTGGCCCTAGCAGGCCCTACCCCTTACCTGGACCTGGGCCGGCCATGCCTTCACTGTGACCCTGCCTTTTGTCCTGACCTTGGTCCTGACATGACCCCAGGCTTGCCAGTGCTCATGATCCTTGTCCTGTTCTAGCTGTGACCTGTACTTGGACATGCCATGGGCCTGATTTGTCCCATCCTTGCCTTGGTCCTTCCCTGCTCTGTCTCCACCACATCCTTGCCTGTTCTGCTCTCTCCCAAGACTGACCTGGCCATGCCATGGTCCAGTAGTGTCATTGCCCTGGCCTATCCTACCATGGTTGTGCCCTGGACCTCATCCCTGCTGGTCCTCACCCTACCTTGACTTTTTCTCTACTCTGTATGGACTGGCTCTGGATCTGCCCTACCATGGTCCTTCCCTGTCCCTGCCATATCCCTGACCATAACCCTGCTCTTATCCAGGCCTGACCCTGATCCCTTCCTGGTCCATGCCAAGGACCTGGTCCTGCTCTGTACTGGTATAGCCCTTGTCTTGACCCACCCTCCCTGCTGTGCCCTGGCTGTGTCTTCACCCTGCCCTAGCTCTGCCCTTGACCTACTCTGGCTTAGACCCTGACCTGGCCCTACCTTGGCCCTTAACCTAGCTTTGACTAGGCCCCACACGGGACCTGGCCCTAGCCCAGACCTGGTCCTACACTTTGGCTTGCAATAACCCTGAATCTGCCATGGTCCTGTACTGGACTTGGAGGTATCCTGGCCCTGAATTGACCTGGACCAGCCTTGGCTTGTCCCTACTTTGGCCCTACCATCGTCCTTCCCTGTTCTGCCCTGTCTACACTGCAACATCCAAGTCGTACCAATGCCCTGACCTACCCTGCCTTGCCTGTGCGTGGCCCTGGTCCCACACTTGATTTTCACTGTCCTTTCCTCAGCCCTGGCCCTACCTTAGCACTGTCCCTGCCTTCTCTATGAACCAGCTCTGGCCATGCCCTGCCATGACCCTACCTTGTCACAGTCCTGGCCCTTCCCCCACCCTGGTCCTGATCCTTAACCTACTCAGGACCTTCCTTAGACTTGCCCCTCTGTTACGGCCCCACCCTGGCAATAACCTACATCCTGGTCCTGGTCCTGCCCTGCTTGAGGTCTTACCCTGGTTCTTCCCTGGTCCTGATCCTGTCTGACCCTGAAATGTCTGGCATTACCCTGGCCTTGCACTGCTCTGGGCCTGACTCTGGCACTGTTACTGCCCTAGCTGCAGCCCAGTTGCTGGTGATGCTATGGTCCTGACCCTGTCCCCAGACCCTGGCCATGCCATGAACCAGCCCCTGTCCTGTCCCTACTCTGGCCATTCCCTGTCCTTTCCTTGGTCTTGGTACCATCCTGGTCCTGCCTCTGCCTTGGTCCTACCCTAGGTTTGACCCTACCCTGGCCATCACTCAAGAGTTGGCTGGGCCCTGTCATGGACCTGACCACAGCACAGACCCAGCACTTTGGGATGCTGATGCAGACGGATCACTTGAGGTCACAAATTCATGACCAGCCTGATCAATGCTGTGAAACTCTATCTTTACTGAAAATATAAAATGTAGCTGGGCGTGGTGGCAGGCACCTGTAATCCCAGCTACTCAGGAGGCTAGCACAAGAAAACTGCTTGAACCCGGGAGGCAGAGGTTGCAGTGAGCCCAGATTTTAACGGGCAAAATAGTTCCAGGTTTCTAAAGCTGAGTGTTCTGAGCAGTAAGCTTTGAATCCTGAAAAATTTACTTACCAGAACATTCTTCAGTGATGTCCAAGAAGTGAGGTGTGTCTGCTCTGAGTCAAGAGTAGTCAAGAAGCAGGTGGCTTGTCAACTCTGCCACACCAGAAATGATGCTCAGCAGGGCTTAGCAACAGCAGTCTCCCCTCTGAACCCAAAAGGTAAAGTCTAGGAGGAAACGAGAGGGGAGTTAGCCATGTTACAGAGGAACTCCTGAGGTTGGGAGGCCCCACAGGAAGGAAAATGCCAGGGAGACAGAAGCTTCTGACCAGTGTTCTCAAGTGGATTGTAATTAAAAAGTAGCTTTGGCAGCCATCCCAGAGCAAGCTCATGAGAGATGGGGTGACACAGCTGCCTGGCAGTTCTGGAGTTAAGCCCAGCCCTGGAGAAGCTGAAGTCCAGGGTGCCACCTGCATCTGCATGGCTGGAATCAACTCCATCACTTATTCTCCTCTTCCCTCCAAACTGTCACTGTAAGATCCTGCTCTGCCACTTACTAGCTGTGTGACCTTAGGCAAGTTACTTAATGTTTCTGCACCTCTGTAAATGGCAGCTATTGTTTATTGTTATCAAAAATGGTTACATTTTTATAGGGTCACACATGGCCATTATCAGTTAGAACTGGGAAAGGCAAACATTTCTTCTGACGCATTAGATGATAAATATTTAGACACTGTAAGCCAACAAGCATTACATATATACATGTATATAGTTCATACATACACAGCTACAAGTACTCAGACACGGGCTCTTTCGCCAATGGCAATGACTTTCTGGCCAAGACTGGATTGATCAGTGGTCCTTCTCATGCGACATTTTCATGTGAAGTGTCAAAGGCTGCTACCTTCTCTGCCCTGTCATTACACAACACTGAGTGAGCCCACTCTGGTCCCACTCCTGAAACCTCAGGACTGGGATCAGGAAGTGAGAGGCCAGGGGCCTCTCTTGCCCTGAAGTTCTAGCTACAGCCCCAGCTCTGGGCTCACCCAGGGGTCGTGTTTGTGCACTCCCAGGCCAGTGTGGGTTACACTGTGCCCCCCCACTTAGAACAGGGATGCCGAAATGAACCAAATGTGTCAGTGGCCAGAGAGAAAGGCAACAGCTAGTGTGGCCACTCGCTGGGGACTCCCCTGCATCCCTGGGCCAGTGTGGATAGAATGATAGAAAGATAAGAAACCTGAATAGACCAGTTATGGGTAATGCAATTTACATAGTAATGAAAAGTCTCCTGTCAAAGAAAAACACAAGAATCATGGTTTTACTGATGAATTCAATGAAACATTTTTAAAAGAGCTAATACCAATTTTATTCAAAATATTTCCCCAAAAATGAAGAGGAAGAAATATGTCAAAAACTTGTTTTATGACGCCAGCACTATTCTGGTACAAAAATCAGACCAAAACAAGACACAAAAAAGAAAAAGGCAAATAAACCTGATGAACACAGATACAAAAAATCCTCAACAAAATACATGAAAACTGCATTTGACAAGACAATAAAAGGATCATCTGCCATGATGAAGTACGATTCATCTGAGAAACAGGAGAAGATTGAATAAACACAGATACATAAATATGCTACATCACATTCAGCAAATCAAAAAAACCATATAATCATTTCAGTAGATGCTGAAAAACGTAAAATTCAACAGTCCTTCATAATAAAAATTCAAAAAGCTATTTCACTGCTGCTGCCACCAACAAAAGATACCTAGGGATAACCGGAAAGTTGGAAGATCCCACAACAAAAGCTATAAATCAGATGAAAGTATTAAAGCAGGCACATGTAAATGGAAATATATCCCATGTCCAAGCACTATGAAGAATGTATACATTACCCAGTGAGATCTACAGAATCAATGCAATCCACATGAAATTACAAAAGGTATTCTTCATAGAAATAGAAAAAAAAAGCATCCTAAAATTCACAGACATCCAAAATACTTCAGATAGACAAAAGAATCATGAATATAAAGAAAAAAGCTAGAAGCATCAAAATACGTGATTTCAAAATATATTACAAATCTATAGTAACAAATACACTGGCCAAAAAAGGTGCAAGTGAGAGACAGAGAGAGACAGACAGACATAGAAGAATGACAGACAGACATACACAAATGAAACAGAATAGAGAACTCAGAAATAAATTAATGCCTTTACAGGAAACTCATTTTTAACAAAGGCACCAAGAACACACCTTTGGAAAAGACAATCTCTTCAATAAACTACTAGGAAAACACAACACCCACATGTACAAGAATAAATCTAGAACGTTATCTTACCAAATACAAAAACCTACTCAAAATAAAGATTTAAATGTAGGACCTGAAACTATGAAACTACTAGAGAAGGAAAACAGCTTAAGTGCTTCATGAAATTCGTTAGGACAAGGGATTTTCAAATAGACATCAAAAGCACAAGCAACAAAAGCAAAAAGAACCGAATGCAATTACATTCAAATTAGAAACTTCTGTGAAGTAGAGGAAGCAATCAGAAGAATGAGGAAACAATCCAGAATATGGAAGTATCTGCAATCAGGAAAGCGGTTAATACACAAAACAAAGAACTCAAACTACTGAGTTTGAGTTCCTAATACCTACTGTCCTTCTAGTATTTGCTGTATGTGAAGCTGCAGTAGGCATAGCCCTACTAGTCACAATTTCCAACACATACGGCCTAAGCCGTGTGCAGAACTTAAACTACAGGTGCACACCACCATGCCTGGCTAATTGTTAAATGTATTGTAGAGGTGGGATCTCACTATGTTACGCAGGCTGGTCTCAACCTCCTGGGCTCAAGCAATCCTTCACCCTTAGCCTTCCAAAGAGCTGAGATTACAGATGTGAGCCATTTCACCATTTCACTAATCTTTAGACTAATTAAATTCATTTCCAAAAAAATACATGTTTATTGTAAAAACAAATTAGGCAATGTGGAAAGATGTAAAACAAAATCTTTTTCCTTCTTCTCTTCATCTTATGCCCTGGGTGTGAACTCTGCTAATATTTGGTTTATCTTTCTCACATCCTTCTTATATAGCTGGGATAATATGTGAGGTTTCACCAATTATGGTGATAAAGTTTGGGGATGCAGATAAAGTTTGGGGATGCAGGTGCAGAAGCGGCAGTGACACACTTCCACCTGGAGGTCTGGGGAGCAGACACCTCTCCCTGAGACTGAGATATAAAGTATATCCCCAAGCCTAGGAGCCAGGCTAAGGAAAAAGAACAATTCTTAATTAACTAAGCTTAAATGTAAAATGCCTGAATTTACCAAGAAATGACCATGACTAATTTTCTGCCACTATGAGAATTGGAGATTCCAAAGAAAGGTAAAATTGTATAATGGAACAATAAGAAAAGTTATATTCTGTACACCCTAAAAAATAATTTAAAAATATAAAAAATATTATCCCCAAAATTTGGGATATCATACTACTACCAGCAACATAACTTTTAAAAAATAACAATCTGAATCAACACAGCCACCCATAGCTTATTTATTAGCCTCTTTGCACTATTACGCCAACCCAACAACCCACGCAGCCTCTCACTGACTTTCCTTTCAGACCCATTAACATCCCCTCTTCTAATTTTAACAGCTGATTACTACCCCTTATAATTCTAGCTACTCAACATCACATAGCCACTGATTCTTTCCCACAAATAGCTCTATATTTCCACACTAATTCTTCTACAAATTTTTCTAATTATAGCATTCACAACCACAGACCTAATTATATTTTATATTCTATTTGAAGCTACATTAATCCCCATTCTAATCATCACTACCCGCTGAGGGTATCAGCCAGAATGTCTTAATGGAAGCTCATATTTCTTATTTCATATACTAGGGGATCCCTCCCCTTACTTATTACATTCCTATATATCCAAAACATCTCATCACTAAATATACTAAACAATAACAAATATAACCCAAGAATTATTATGTTCTTGAACTAATAACACCACATTGTTGTCATATATGATGGCTTCCATAGTCAAAATATGTCTATACAGACCCATGACTTCCCAAAGGCCATGTAGAAGCCCCTATTGCTGGCTCAATAGTACTTGTGGCAGTATTACTAAAATTAGGGGGCTATAGCAAAATACAAATCACCCCGAACCCTCTTTATCCCTGCATTGTCCCTGGACCTTCCCTGGCTACAGTACGGAGCTGACCCTGCTCTGTTTATGCCATAGACCTGACCCTGATCTGGCCCTGCCATACCGTGGTTCGAACCTGGCAATGTCCAGGCTCTACCCTTCCCAGGACCTGCCTTTGCCTTGTCCTAGTCCTGCCTCAGCCATGGCCTTTTCCCTGGCCCTCCCCACCCGTTGCCTTCACCTTTCCATGGCCCTGCCTTTTTCTTGGCCATTCTCTGCCCTTGCCCTTGTCATGGCCCCTTTCTGGCCCTGACTTGTTGTGGGTCCTCTCCTGTCCATTTCCCAACCCTGGTATTCCCTGTCCCTGCCCTGTCATCCCTGGGCACTGTCTTTGCTTTATACTGATTTTGCCTCCTTCTCTTGGCTCTGCACTACCCTAGTTCTGCCCTGACCTGGCCCCCAGTTCATCCTGACCTTATCCTGTGCCAAGCCCTGGTACTGCCACGTTCCTGCCTTGGCCTTGATTCTGCACTGCTTTTGGCCCTAATCTTGGTCCTATCATGTCCCTGGCTGTGACCCTGTCCCTGGTTTTTCCCTGACCATGACCCACCCAGGTCCTGCCCTAGCACAGCCAACTGGGCACTGTACTCCCTAGTGCCCTGCCCTACAATTCCCATGCCAGGGTGCTGCTCTAACCCTAATACTGTTTGGGCCCTGACTTGCCCATGGTCCTCGCCCTGCCATAGCCCTGACTCTAACTTGGCCTGGTCCTGCCCTTTCATTCATTCATGCCTGTCATTCTTACTTTGCTTCTGGCCCTGCCCTGGCCACTACCTGCCCTAGCCTTTCCTTGTCTCTCTGCTATGCTGGCCCTGCCATTTCCTGGTTCTGCCTGGGCCCTGCCCTTCTCTCCTTACCTTGGTCCTGTGCTATCCTAGTCTTGCCTCAACCCTGACATTGCCCTTAGCCTATCCTAGCCTGACATGGGCCTCCATACACTGGCCATATCCAGCCCTGGTCTTACACTACCCTGGCTGTAATTCTGACCTGGCCCTGCCCTTGTCTTAGCCCCTCCCTGACACTGCCTTGCTGTGGGCCCTGCTGTCCATGTACCAGCCCTGGGTATCTCTGTCGCTGCCCTGCCATACCCTGACACTGTCCTCACCCTACACTGTCTGCCTTGCTTTGCTTCTGTGCTACCTTAGCCCTGGCTTGTCTAGGCCCTGAGCTTGTCTAACCTTACCTTTTCTCAAGGTCTGACCCTGCCATGTCCCCGGCATTGCTCTGGTTTTTCCCCATGTCTTGACCTCTCCTGGCCCCATCGTGTCCCTAGCTATGACCCTGCCCTTGTTTATTCCCTAGCCATGACCCAGCCCCAGTTTACCCTCGTCCAGTCCTGACTAGGCATTGCTTGTACCCACTTCCCTGGCCCTACCCTATCCTTGTCTTGGCCATGTGCTACCCTGTACCTTCCCTGGACTTGTGCTTGCCATGGTTTGATTCTGGCCCTGCTGCTCCTGCTGACTCTGGTCCTGTCATGGCACCCAGCCTGCCAGTGGTCACTGTCCTGGTCCTGTTCTGGCCCTGACCTGGACGTGGACATGTCCTGAGCCTGATTTGTCCCAGCCATTCCTGGACCTGTCTCTGCCCTAGTCTATCAGGTCCCTGCATATACTGCCCTTTCCTGGCACTGCCATGGCCCAGTCATGGCATTACCCAGTCTTACCCTACACTGGTTGTGCCCTGTTTCTGGCCTGCCCTAGCCCCTTCCTGGATTTGCCCTGACCCTGACTTGGCTTTTGCCCTGCCCTCTCTATGGTCAGGCTCTAGCCCTGTCTTGCCCTTCCCTGCAATGGTGCTACTCTGTCCTTATCCAGATCCTGAGCCTGCCCTGGTCTGGACCCTGGCCCTTCCCTTGCTCTTCCTTGCCCCACCATGTCCTGGTCTTGCCCTCACCCTACACTGACCCTTCATCGGCCCTCTCTGCATTGGCCTGACCCTGGCCCTGAGTGTGCCTTCTCCCTGGCCTTGCCTTGGCTCTACTCTGTCATCCTCTAACCTGGGCCTGTATTTGCCCCACCATACCCTGGCCCTGTTCCTAGGCCTGCCCCTGCTATGACCATGCCCTGCTTTTGGCAATACCCTGTGCTACCTTACTACTGCTCTGCCCAGGCCCTATCCTGCCCTGACCCAACTCTGACTGGGCACTGCACTACTCTGGCCCTGCCCTGCCCAACCCCATCCATGTCTAGGACCTGTTCTGGCCCTGTCTCTGGTCCTACCATGGCTCTGACCCTGCCACCAGTCCTGCCATAGCCCTGACCCTGACTTGTCCCTGTCCTACCCTGGCCTTTCTTTGGCCCTGTGCTACACTGGCCCAGCCCCAGCATGCACGGGCTGGCCGTGCCTTCATCTGACCCTGATTTTTGTCCCAACCTTGGTCCTGACATGACCCCAGGCTGTCAGAGGTCATAGTCCTGGTCCTGTTCTGACCATGACCTAGACTTGGACATGTCATGTGCCTGATGGGTCCTGTCATTGCCATGGCCCATCCCTGCCCTGTCCCCACCATGGCCTTGCCTGCTCTGCTCTCTCCCAGGACTGACCTGGCCCTGCATTAGCCTAGTCATGTAATTTTCCTGGCCTACCCATCCCTGGTTATGTCCTGGCCCTGGTCCCTCCCTATACCTGCCCTAACCCTGCCTTGGCTTTTCTCTACCCTCTCTACGGACTTCCTCTGGACCTGCCCCACCATGGTTCTGCCCCGTCATTGCCATATCCCTGACCCTATCACTGCCCTTATCCTGACCTTGACCCTTCCCTGGTCTCTGGTCCTTCCAAGGACCTGTCATGACTCTGCCAAGGCCCTAGGCCTGGTTTGTACTAGTATACTTGTCTTAAACCGCCCTTCCCTGACATGTCCTGTCTCTGTCCTCAGCCCCCAGACCCTGCCATTGTCCCTTAACCTAGCCTTAACTAGGCCCTGCTCTGGACCTGACCATAGTCCTATACTTTGGCCTGGTATTACCCTGGACCTGCCCTGTCATGAACTGGACTTGGAGGTATCCAGGCACTGAAGTGACCTGGTTCAGCCTTGGATTGTCCCTGTCCCGGCTCTACCATCATCCTGCCCTGTTCTGCCCTGTCTTGGCACTGAAATGGCCCTGCAACAGCCAAGTTATGCCAATGCCCTGCCCTACACTTTCCTGGCTCTTCCCTGGTCCTGGTCCTGCCCTCGATATGCCTTGACCCTTCTCAGCCCTGGTACTAGCTGGCACTAGCCTGGCTCTACCTTGACATTGGTCCTGTCCTGTCTATGAACCAGCTCTGTCCCTGCTGCACCATGACCCTGCTCTGTCACAGCCCTGGCCCTGGCCCTTATCCTGCTCAGGTCCTTCCCTAGCCTTGCCCCTCTGTTATGGCCCTTGACCTGACCGTAACCTAGACCCATCCCTGGCCTTTCCCTGCTTAAGGCATTACTTGGTTCTGTACTGGTCCTGATCCTGTCCTGACCCTGAAATGCCTGGAATTACCCTGGTCTTGCACTACTCTGGCCCTGACCCTGGCTGTCACTGTCCTAGACCGAGCCCTGTTGCCAGTGCTGCTATGGCCCTGATCATTTCCCTGGACTCTTGCCATGCCATGAAGCTGCACTGTCCTTACCCTTGTTCTGGCACTGCCCTGGCCATTCTCTGTCCTTTCCCTTGCCTTGGCATCACCCTGCCCTGGCTGTCACCCTAGACTTGGTTGGGTCCTGTCTTGGACCTGGCCATAGCACAGACCCAGCAATTTGGGAAGCTGAGGCAGGTGGATCACCTGAGCTCAGGAGTTCAAGACCAGCCTGACCAACATGGTGAAACTCTGTCTTTAGGTGTGGTGGCAGGCACCTGTAATCCCAGCTACTCAGGAGGCTAGCACAAGAAAATTGCCTGAAGCCGGGAGGCAGAGGTTGCAGTGAGCTGAGATTGTGCCACTGCACTCCAGCCTTGGCAGTAAGAGTAAGACTCCATCTTTTACAAAAAAAAAAAGATTTAATGTGCAAAATAATTCCAAATTTCTAAAGTTGAGTGTTCTGAGCACTAAGCTTTGATTCCTGAGAAACGTACTTACCAGAACATTCTTCAGTGATGCCCAAAAAGTGAGGTGTGTCTGCTCTGCAGAGATGAGTCAGGAGTAGTGAAGAAGCAGGTGGCTTGTCAACTCTGCCCACCAGAAATGACGCTCAGCAGGGTTTAGCAACAGTAGTCTCCCCTGTGAACCCACAAGGTAAAGTCTAGGAGGAAACCAGAAAGGAGTTAGCCAAGTTACAAAAGAACGGCTGAGGTTGGGCGGCCCCACGGGAAGGAAAATGCCAGAAACATAGAGGTCACAGTGTTCTCATGAGGATTTTTATTAAAAAGAAGCTTTGGCAGCCATCCCAGAGCAACCTCAAGAGGAGATATTGGGGTCACAGAGCTGCCTGGCAGTTTTGGAGTTATGCACAGACCTGGAGAAGCTGAAGTCCAGGGGGCCACCTGCATCTGCATGGCAGTAATCAAGTCTATCACTTATTCTCCTCTCCCTCCAAACTGTCACTGCAAGATCCCACTATGCCACTTACTAGCTGTGTGACCTTAGGCAAGTTACTAAACATTTCTGAGCCTCAGTAAACGGTAGCTAATATTGTTTACTGTTATTAAAAGTGGTTAAATCTTTACAGGGTCATGCACAACCATAAGCAGGTAGCACTGGGAGAGGCAAACATTTCTTATGACACATTAGATGGTAAATATTTTAGACACCGTAAGCCAAACAGCATTATATATATGTATATATTTCATACATACATAGCTACAGGCACTCAGACGGCAATGCCTTTCTGACCAAGACTGGATTGATGAGTGGTTCTTATGCCACATTTTCATGTGAAGTGTTGAAGGCTGCTGTCTTCTCTGTCCTGTTATTACACAACATTGAGTGGGCCCACTCTGGCCACACTCCTGGAACCTCACCACCGGAACCAGGAAGTAAGAGGTCAGGGTCCTCTCCTTCCCTGAAGTTCTAGCTGCAGCCCCAACTCTGGGTTCACCCTGGAGCCCTGTGTTGGTGCATTCCTAGGTCAGGGAAGGCTACACTCTGCCCCCCACATGACACCTGGGGATAGTGAGATAAACCAGATGTGTCAGTGGCCAGAGAGAAGGGCAGCAGCTAGTGTGGCCACTTGCTGGGGCCTCCGCTGCTTCCCTTGGCTGGTGTGGAGAGAATGATAGAAAAATAAGAAACAGAACAGACTAATTATGGGTAATGCAATTAAACTAGTAATAAAAAGTCTCCCATCAAAAAAAAGCACAAGAATCTACTGAATTCAATGAAACATTTTTAAAAGAGCTAATACCAAATATACTCAAAATATTCCCCCAAAAATAAAGAGGAAGGAACACTTCCAAACTTGTCCTATGAGGCCAGCCCTGGTACAAAAACCAGACCAAAACACAACACAAAAAAGCAAACCACAGGCAAATATCCCTGATAAACACAGATGCAAAAAATCCTCAACCAACTATTTGAAAACTGCATTGGACAAGACAATAAGCAGATCATCTGCCACGATTTAGAGGGATTCATCTGAGAAATATGAGGGCAATTCAATAAACCCAAATAAGTAAATGTGCCACATCACATTCAGCAAATCAAGAAAAAATATATCATCATTTCAGTAATGCTGAAAAAAATAAAATTCAACGTTCCTTCGTAATTCAAGAAAGCTGTTTCATTACTTCTACCACCCAAAAAAGATACCTAAACACAACAAAAAATTTGGAAGATCCCACAATGAAAATGATAAAAGAGACATCAAAACAGACACGATGAAAAGATCGCCCATGTCCAAGCACTAGAACATTAAAATATCTATCACCCAATGTGATCTGCAGAATCAATGCAATTCATATGAAATTACAAAAGACATTCTTCATGGAAACAGAAAAAAAATCCTAAAATTCACATAGAAATGCAAAATATCTCAGATAGATAAAAGAATCATGAACAAAAAGAAAAAAACTGGAAACATCACAATACCTGATTTTAAAATGTATTATAAATCTTTAGTAACAAAAACAGCATGGTACTGGCCATAAAAGTGGCAAGGGAGAGACAGACAGACACACAGACATAGAGAACTCGGAAATAAATTCATGCATTTAAAGTCAACTCATTTTTAGCAAAGGCACCAAAAACACACCTTTGGAACGGACAGTCTCTTCAATAAACTGTGCTAGGACAACACAACACATACATAATAAACGGTCAAGAATAAATCTAGACCGTTATCTTACCAAATATCAAAATAAAGATTTAAATGTAGGACCTGCGACTATGAAACTACTAGAGAAGAAAACAGTATAAATCCTTCATGAAATTGGTTAGGACAAGGGATTTTCAAATACACATCAAAAGCCACAGCAACAAAAGCAAAAAGCGTCAAATGCAATTGCATTAAACACAGAAGCTTCTGCAAAGTAGAGGAAGCAATCAGAATGAAGAAAATTCAGAATATGGAAGAATTTGCAAACTATGCCATCAGGCAAGCAGCTAATACAGAAAACATATAAAGAATTCAAACTTCTCCAAAGCAAAAAATACAAATAACCTTATTTAAAAATCAGAAAAAGATCTACCCAAACCCTCTGTCCGTCCCCCAGCATTATTTTTCCATCTTCTTTTCCCAACAGCCTTTGGCCCTTCCCTCTCGCCAGCCTTTTTCTTTCTCCATCTACCCCAAAGCTTTTTCCACATTTTCCCCCACTGTCATTTCACAAAGACTTCTCTACTCTCTTCTACAGTTTTCCCCACTCATCTACCCCAAAACTTTTATACACCGTTTTCCCCCACTGTGTTTTCTTCCTCTTTCCTACCCTCTTTCCTGCCTCACTCTCATCCCGTTTGCTCCTCTATCTACACAAAAACATTTTCCCCATCTTTTACCAAAGCCTTCTCACCACTCCTGCTCAGCACCCTCTTTTCCCCCTTCATCTCCCCAAAACTGTTTGCCCCATCGTCTTTTTCCCCTTTCCTTCTTGCCACCCTCTTTCCCTTCTCCATCTATCCCAAAACATTTCCTCACCATCTTTTTTGCAAAGCCTTCCCCGCTTCCCACTCACCCTCTTCTTCCCCTTATCCTGCTTGCCACGTCTTTGCCCTCTACGCTATTTTTCCCATCTTCTTTTTCCCATCCCTCTTTCTGCACTCCCTCTGGCCACCCCCTCTTTTCTCTTCCCACTTGCCACCCTCTTCCCCCTCCATCTATCCACTTTATCCGTCTTTCTTTCCTGCCCATCGTCTATTTGCAAAACCTTTTCTCCTCCCCACTCGCCACCCTCTTTTCTCTCTTCATCTACGTAAAAAATTTTATCCCCTTCTTTTCGCAAAACCTTCTCTCCCTCCTGCTTGCCCACTTTCTCTTCTCCCTCCCTCTTTGCATCACCTTTCCTTCTCCCACTTGTCCCCCTCTTCCCTTCTGCATCTGCCCAAAATCTTTTTACCCACTGTCTTCTTTCCTCCCGTATTTTTTCAGACCTTCTCTCCCTCCTGCTCACCCCCTGGTTCTCCCCTCACCATCCTCTCATTCCTCCTGTCACTTGCCACTCTCTTTTCCCCTTCCATCTACCCAAAAACGTTTCCCCACCATCTTTTCACAAAAGCTTCTCTCCCTCTTCCTCGCCCCCTGCTTCCCCCCTCACCATCCTCTCATTCCTCCTCTCACTTGCCACTCCATTTTCCCCTTCCATCTACCCCAAAATAGTTTTCCTCACCGTCTTTTTTTCAACATCTTATCCTGTTCGCCATCCTCTTTGTCCCTTTGGCAATAACCACCCTCCTTAGCCCTCCCACCTCACCCCAAACTCGTTTCCCCTCCTACCGCTCCAGGGGCATGCGTCCGTGGCTACCGCCAACCACAGTGAGGTGAGCTGCAGCAAGGCGAACCGAACCGCAGTACTGCAGACTCCAGCTTCCAGCAGGCGGCAGCTGGCTCTCCCGTCTTCTACTCCTCTAAGCCCAGCACCGAGGAGCACAGCCGACAGACACAGAAAAGCCTAGAATGGAGTGCCTGCCCAACAGAGCCATTTATATACTGAGGTTATGCACAGAGGTTCCTGAACTACACAGTCTCATTGGATGAAAACAAGTCTGAGGCCAGCCAATCAGAGCATGAAAATAAAACCCAATCAGAGTAGGCCTAAAGGTTTCCTCTCATCCAATCAGAACATGTAGTCCAGGAACCATGGGCAAAACCTCAGCATGCTGAGGCTGCCTCACGCTGTTCCAGGCTCTTGTGTATCTTCTAGCGGAGCCACTGTGTTCACGGCTTAGAGGAACAGGAGAAGGGGCGGCAGAGCCACCTACTGCACGCTGGAGGCTGCAGCCTGCTGTACCGCGGCTGGCCTCGCTGCAGTGGGTGGTGGTGACGGAAACTGCAGCGGCTGGAGCGGTAGGAGGGCGTAGGGGAGCAGGCTGGAGTGGTAGGAGGGCGGCCAGAGCGGTAGGGGAGCGGGCTGGAGCGGTAGGAGAGCGGCCGGAGTGTTAGGGGAGCGGGCTGGAGCAGTAGGAGGGCGGCCGGAGCATTAGGAGGGCGGTTGGAGTTGTAGCGGAGCGGGTTGGAGCGGTAGGAGTGCAGCCGGAGTGGTAGGGGAGCGGGCTGGAGCGGTAGGAAGGCAGCCGGCCGGAGTGATAGGAGGGTGGCCGGAGTCGAAGGGGAGAGAGCTGGAGCGGTAGGAGGGTGGCCGGAGTGCGGGTTGGAGCGGTAGGAGGGCGGTTGGAGCGGTAGGGGGCGGCTGGAGCAGTAGGGGAGCAGGTTGGCGTGGTAGGAGTGCAGCCGGAGCGGTAGGGGAGCGAGCTGGAGGGGTAGGAGGGTGGCCGGAGTGGTAGGAGGGCGGCCGGCGTCATAGGGGAGCAGGCTGGAGTGGCAGGAGGGAGGCCAGAGTCATAGGGGAGCGGACTGGAGCAGTAGGAAGGAGGCCGGAGTGGTAGGGGAACCGGCTAGAGCAGGAGGAGGGCGGCAGGAGTCGTAGGGGAGCTGCCTGGAGCGGTAGGAGGGCGGCCGGAGTTCTAAAGTAGCGGGCTAGAGGTAGGAGGGCGGCCGGAGTCATAGGTGAGCGGGCTGGAGCGGTAGGAGGGCGGCTGGAGTCATAGGCGAGCGGATTGGAGCGGTAGGAGGGCAGCTGGAGAGGTAGGAGGGCGGTCGGAGTCATAGGCAAGCTGGCTGGAGCGGTAGGAGGGCGGTAGGAGGGCGGCCAGAGTCATAGGTGAGCGGGCTGGAGCGGTAGGAGGGCAGCTGGAGTCATAGGCGAGCGGGCTGGAGTGGTAGGAGGGCGGCTGGAGTCATAGGCGAGCAGGCTGGAGCGGTAGGAGGGCGGCTGGAGAGGTAGGAGGGCGGCCAGAGTCATAGGCGAGCGGGCTGGAGCGGTAGGAGGGCGGCTGGAGTCATAGGCGAGCGGGCTGGAGCGGTAGGAGGGCGGCTGGAGTCATAGGCGAGCGGGCTGGAGCGGTAGGAGGGCGGCTGGAGAGGTAGGAGGGCAGCCAGAGTCATAGGCAAGCTGGCTGGAGCAGTAGGAGGGCGGCTGGAGAGGTAGGAGGGCGGCCGGAGTCATAGGCGAGCGGGCTGGAGCGGCAGGAGGGCGGCTGGAGCGGTAGGGGAGCGGGCTGGAGTGGTAGGGGAGCGGACTGGAGCGGTAGGAGGGCGGCCGGAGCGGTAGGGGAGCGGGGGTCAGATAGGTAGGGGAGCGGGCTGGAGCAGTAGGATGGCAGTCTGAGTGGTAGGAGGGCGGTCGGAGTGGTAGGAGGGCGGCTGGAGCGGTAGGGGAGCGGCTGGAGAGGTAGGAGGGCGGCCGGAGTCATAGGCAAGCTGGCTGGAGCAGTAGGAGGGCTGCTGGAGAGGTAGGAGGGCGGCCGGAGTCATAGGTGAGCGGGCTGGAGCGGTAGGAGGGCAGCTGGAGTCATAGGCGAGCAGGCTGGAGCGGTAGGAGGGCGGCTGGAGAGGTAGGAGGGCGGCCGGAGTCATAGGTGAGCGGGCTGGAGCTGTAGGAGGGCGGCTGGAGTCATAGGCGAGCAGGCTGGAGCGGTAGGAGGGCGGCTGGAGAGGTAGGAGGGCGGCCGGAGTCATAGGCAAGCTGGCTGGAGCGGTAGGAGGGCGGCTGGAGAGGTAGGAGGGCGGCCGGAGTCATAGGCAAGCTGGCTGGAGCGGTAGGAGGGCAGCTGGAGCGAGCGGGGTGGAGCGGTAGGGGAGCGGGCTGGAGCGGTAGGAGGGCGGCCGGAGCGGTAGGGGAGCGGGCTGGAGCGGTAGGAGGGCGGTCGGAGAGGTAGGGGAGCGGGCTGGAGCGGTAGGGGAGCGGCTGGAGAGGTAGGAGGGCAGCCGGAGTCATAGGCAAGCTGGCTGGAGCGGTAGGAGGGCGGCTGGAGAGGTAGGATGGTGGCCGGAGTCATAGGCAAGCTGGCTGGAGCGGTAGGAGGGCGGCTGGAGAGGTAGGATGGTGGCCGGAGTCATAGGAGAGCGGGCTGGAGCGGTAGGAGGGCGGGCAGAGCGGTAGGAGGGCGGCTGGAGCGGTAGGGGAGCGGGCTGGAGCTGTAGGAGGGTGGCCAGAGCGGTAGGGGAGCTGGCTGGAGTGGTAGGAGGGCGGCTGGAGCGGTAGGGGAGCGGGTTGGAGTGGTAGGAGGGCGGCCGCAGCGGTAGGGGAGTGGGCTGGAGCGGTAGGAGGGCGGGAGCGGTAGGGGAGCATGCTGGAGCGGTAGGAGGGCGGCCGCAGCGGTAGGGGAGCGGGCTGGAGTGGTAGGAGGGCGGCTGGAGCGGTAGGGGAGCGGGCTGGAGCGGTAGGAGGGCGGCCGGAGCGGTAGGGGAGCATGCTGGAGCGGTAGGAGGGCGGCCGGAGCGGTAGGGGAGCGGTCTGGAGCTGTAGGAGGGCGGCTGGAGCGGTAGGGGAGCTGGCTGGAGTGGTAGGAGGGCGGCTGGAGCGGTAGGGGAGCGGGCTGGAGCTGTAGGAGGGTGGCCGGAGCGGTAGGGGAGCTGGCTGGAGTGGTAGGAGTGCAGCTAGAGCTGCAGGGAAGCGGGCTGGAGCAGTAGGAGGGCGGCAGGAGCGGTAGGGGAGCAAGCTGGAGTCGTAGGGGAGCGGGCTGGAGCGGTAGGAGGGTGGCCGGAGTCGTAGGGGAGTGAGCTGGAGCCGTAGGAGAGCGGCCGGAGTCATAGGGGAGCGGGCTGGAGCGGTGGAACGTGGCCGGAGTTGTAGGGGAGCGGGCTGGAGCGGTAGGAGGGCGGCCGGAGTCGTAGGGGAGCGGGCTGGAGCGGGCTGGAGCGGTAGGAGGGCGGCGGAGTCGTAGGGGAGCGGGCTGGAGCGGTGGGAGGGTCGCCGGAGTGGTAGGGGAGCGGGCTGGAGCGGTGGGAGGGTCGCCGGAGTGGTAGGGGAGCCGGCTGGAGCGGTAGGAGGGCGGTTGGAGCGGTAGGAGGGCGGTTGGAGCGGTAGGAGGGCGGTTGGAGCGGTAGGAGGGCGGTTGGAGCGGTAGGAGTGCAGCTGGAGCGGTAGGAGTGCAGCTGGAGCGGTAGGAGTGCAGCTGGAGCGGTAGGGGAGCGGGCTGGAGCGGTAGGAGGGCGGCCGGAGTCGTAGGGAGGGTCTGGAGCGGTAGGAGGGTGGCCGGAGAGGTAGGGGAGCGGGCTGGAGGGTTAGGAGGGCGGCCGGAGTTGTAGGGGAGCAGGCTGGAGTGGGGAGGCCAGAGTCAGACGGGAGTGGGCTGGAGGGGTAGGAGAGCGGTTGGAGTCATAGGGGAGCGGGCTGGAGGGGTAGGAGGGCAGCGGGAGTCGTAGGGGAGTGGGTTGGATCAGTAGGAGGGCGGCCGGAGGGTAGGAAGACAGCTGGAGCGGTAGGAAAGCGGGCTGGAGTGGTAGGAGGGCGACCGGAGTGGTGGGGGAGCAGGCTGGAGCGATAGCTCCAAGGTGAAGGGTTTTCAGAACAGGATTTCTGGGAGCAGCCCCTCCATGATTATGGGGCAGGGGTTACTCTTATCACTTGTAGGGCACTTGGACCGGGTACCTGATGCCCAAGGCTTCCCCTGTGGGTGAGAGGCAGGGTCCTGCTGGTCGGCAGTGAGAGCCAGTGTGGGGCGTGTGTACATAGGATTTCACGCATGTGATGGAAAGGCATCCATGCAGAAGAGTGAACGATGCGAAAGTGTTGTAGCACCGTGGAAACGTATAGGCATTACTGAGCTATTTGATCAGAAAATAAAACAATAGGCCAGCAGGGTGACTCATGCCTGTAATCCCAGCATTTTGGGAGGCCAACGCGGGAGGACCACTTGAGTCTAAGAGTTTGAGTTCAGCCTGGGAGACATAGCAAGACCCTGTCTCTCCTAAGAATTTCTTTTAAAAAGCTGGGCATGGTGGTGCATGCCTGTGGTTCCAGCCACTTGGGAGGCTGAGGATTGCTTGAGCCCAGGAGTTTGATGCTATAGTGAACCATGATCACACCACTGCACTCGAGCATGGGTGACAGAGAGACTGTCTGAAAGGAAAAAAGAAAGAAGAAGCCACACCAACATGCTACCATGTCCTATGCTCCTCTCTTTTTTTTTTTTTTTTAAAGACAGTTTCACTATGTTGCCCAGGCTAAAGTGCAGTAGGGCGATCTCAACTCACTGCAACCTCTGCCTACCAGGTTCAAACGATTTTCCTGCCTCAGCCTCCTGAGTAGCTGGGATGGCCACCACGACACTCAGCTAATTTTTTGTATTTTTAGTAAAGAGGGAGTTTCATTAAGTTGACCAGGCTGGTCTTGAACTCCTGATCTCATGATCTGCCCACCTCAGCCTCCAAAAGTGCTGGGATTGTAGGTGTGAGCCACCAAGCCCAGGCTTTTTTTGTTTTTTTTTTTGGATAGTTTCACTTCTGTTGCTCAGGCTGGAGTGCAATGGTGTGATCTCAGTTCACTGCAACCTCTACTTCCCAGGCTCAAGCAATTCTCCTGCCTCACCCTCCTGAGTATCTGGGACCACAGGAGTGCACCACCACACCTGGCTAATATATTTGTATTTTTGGTTGAGACGGGGTTTTGCCATGTTGCCCAGGTGCAAGGCTCATGAGTACAGTTCCTGTTTCATTCACCGCAGTATCCCCAGTGCCTGAGACATGCCTGGCATTTGGTAAGTCCTCAAGAAATATGTGTAAGGGAGTGAATAGTTTCGGCTGGCCACTTC